GTGAGGCTTGGTACAACTAAGTCGACCTTGTAACACGTATGTTAGTTTTAAGTTGTTGCGTCTATTTATTTATCCATAAGATGATTGACATGACAAACCACATTGGTAATTAAAGGCTTCTCCATATTAATAGTTTACAAGTATAAAACTTAAAACTTTCGCCTATTTTATTCATGTTCCAACTTTTAAAAGCATCTACAATGGGAATTGCTTCTAAAGCAACTCCCTTTCACTTCTAATAAGTCTCATTATACCACATCACTCATAAGCTACTCATATTACATTTTTACAATTTTTTCTCCATGGGTGTTGCTTCTAAGCACCCACACTTTTTGCCAACTCATACTTCATTTTCTGACAACTCATACTTCACTTTTTAACAATTTAAAAATAATGTTATAATTATAATTAAATATTAATTTTGTAAAAGATAATCTTTTAATATGGATAAAAAAATTAACACAATTATTTTAATGCATTAAGAAATATTAAATATTAAAAACAAGGAAATTACATAATTCAAAGATATTTGCAAGAATTAAAAGCATTACCAAGAAATTAGAAAGAACTTAAATATGAAAACAAAGAAATTACATAATAAAGAGAAATACACAATAAAATATTTATAGCAATAAATATGCATTAATTTTCGTTATTCTCATGCCCAAAACATTCTCAAATATATTCCACCAAGTTGTTTTAAAGTTTTCGGTGTTGTTGTCTGTCACGAAGATGCGCCCTCCTTTGTAAATATGTTGCAATAAAAATAGGATGAGCATTAGATATATCGATAGTTGAGACTTCGTTATCACCGTTATCATAATCAAAATTAATATTGTATGTGTGTCTCTCATCTTCAACAATCATGTTATGTAGTATGATGCATGCATACATGATGCTCTTCAATGTATTGAGATGCTAAGCATGTGCTGGTCCACGTACAATTGCAAATCAATATTGCAACACTACAAATGTTCGTTCCACATCTTTTCTTACCGATTCTTGTCGTTTGACAAATAATTTTTCTCTTTTCTTCTTGTGGTAGAGAGATGATCTTAACAAATGTAGCCCACTCTGAATAAATATCATCAATAAGATAATAAACCATAATATAGTGGTTTCTATTCGATGTGTATTATACAGTAGGAGCTTGTCCTGACAAAATGTCATTAAACATATTCGAAGCATTTAACACATTAATATCATTATTTGAAGGCATTCCACATCCATAAGTCTTGTGAAGCTACAACTCCAAGCATGATTGTAGGTTTGTCGTGATCACCTCGACAAAATTGTCCTTTCCAAGCAACTAGACAATTTTTCCATTCCCAATGCATACAATCAATAGAACCTAACATACCTATAAAGCCACGTGTGTTCCCTATTTGAAGTAGTCATTGAACATCTTCATTGTTAGGCCTCCTAAAGTATTTAGCCCCAAATATGCTGCACACACCTGATACAAGTCTCTCTAAGCATTCCACAACAATATTTTCACCAATTCGAACATAATCATTTGTACTATCAGCACTTGATCCATATACTAATATACGAATGGCAATTGTGTATTTTTGTAATGGTGAAAGACCCTTATTTCGAGTTACATCAACCTTCATCTGGAAATATTCATCATGATGACCATGGGCTTTTACAATTCGAAGAAACACGTGCCTTTGCATTTGAAACCTTCGTCGAAATTAAGCATTTGTGTAAAACGGATTCTCAAAGAAGTAATCAATAAATAATCGATTGTGCCCTTCTTCACGACACCGATCAATCATCATTATTTTTCCCTTCGACGAGTGGTTATGTCAAATTATTGTTGCATCTCAAGTGTTATCCTCATTAATTGTTCGTCGGTGTTATCTTCAACTTCCTCTTCTATAACTTGCTCAAACAAAGTATCAAAGTCTTTGTCAAAATCCATTATGTGGAAAATTCGAGTGTGAAGTTTAGGAGAGAATAGGAAATAAGGTGAAGTTTGAGAAAATGAAATAATAACCAGGGTTTGATAATGAGATGCAATAAGTGTGTAACATTTATATAGTGTCATGAAAAATGGCTACTTTGTAACAGCTAGTTTTATAACAGTTAATTTTATAACGGCTAGTTCTGCAACGACTAGTTTTAACAATAAAAATCAATTACAATAAAATTAGTCTAATTTGCGATAATTTAACAACTTTTAAAATTACAATAATAATTATTCTCCTAATTTGTGCCTAATAAAATTACAAGTCAATTCGTAATCTTTGAATTGTTTCTCAATCATCCTAGATGTGTCCTTTATGAGAATGTCATACATCGAACTAAAGTTAGTTGCTTCCTTCGCTTTAGCCAATTTTTCCATTGCAACACTTCTCTCTAACATTGCTTTTGCCATATTATCCAACTCCTTTTTGCTGGATGATATTTCGACAAGCTTATCTTCACTCTTTCTTCTTGTTGCCTTTTGGCCTATTGGACGAAACATTGGTGTTGTTAGGTCATATTCTTCACAATCATTTGCCACATCTGTGTTTGAAGATGCTAAGTATTGCCCAAATTTAGAAATCTTTGTCCTTTTAATAGAGTTTTTCATTGATTCAGATTTCCATTTTGGCTCGTCTCTTAAGAATAGTCATGTATGCTCAAAATTGAATTTATCACCCACATCTTGTGAGTAAATCTTATATTCACATGCCATAATGTCTTTCTCCGAGTTGCCACTTTTTCTTTGATCACAAGCTTGTTTGTAACACCTCACAATTAATTGAACTGCTTTATTGATTTAAAACCATCGACTTTTCGACTAACCTGGTTTTCTTTCTGTAAATTGATTGCGATGATTGTTGTAATTCTCTTTGATTCTTATCCATAAGTTATTTCCAGTTTGATCAACTCCCACAACTGGATCCTTCGAAATGTTGAGCCATGATTGAATAAGGAGGTTGTCTTCTTCCATTGAGAAGCTAATACATGATTTTTTTTAGTAGATAATTCTTCCCCTTATTATCCTCCTACATCAAGTGTGATATTCTCTAGCTCAACTTGAAACTCGGATATTGAACCAATTGGTGATTCTGTTTCTCGATCTAATGGCTCCACAACTCTTTCGGAAAACATTAAAGGCCTATACATTCTACCGAGATTGGTTGGTGATGGTGATGGCAGATACATAAAATATTGGAGATTTGGAGAATGATCATTGGTAGAGGGTGGTGGTAGTGGTGGGTATCTAAAAAAATGAGAATTTTGAAAATTTTGACCGAAAGGGAGTGGAAGTGGTGGTTGATTTTGTAAATAATTAAAATAACTTTAAAAAGTATATTAATCGGGATTCATGTGCTACAACACAAAAAAATGCAGATGAATAACAATAAGAAAAGGAGAATTGTTTTGAAGTGAAACTAATATGAAGTGGTGATGTGAATAGTGAATGTGAATAGTAAATCAATTTATAGAGACACTATCTTGCCACAACGTTTACTAGTTTATCATTCAATGGTCAATTTTTTTCATCAGCGTCTTTCAACATTCACTATTTTGCCATTCAACAATCAATTTTTTTTCTCAACGCCTTTCAATCAATGCCTATTTCAACGGTCAAATTTTTTTATCACATTTGAAGGAGTCAGTTTCATTTAGAACGATCACATTTTTCTCATCAAATGCACAAATGCACGAAATGCACAAAAATCATATTTTTTACACTTTTGTACCAACTCTCTCTTTGCTTCATCTTCTTCCACCACCCCCTCCTCAACACAACCACCACCGTCACTAGCCAACCCCTCTTCCCGAGAGATGGATAAATACCATCAGCGACAGTCTTCCCAAATCCCCCCTTCTCTTCTCCTCTCTTCCTCTCGCTCTCTCTCCTCTCTTCTCTTTGAGTTGTTCATGGCAACGCTAGGCAACAAATTTTGGGTCGTTCACAACAACGTTGAGCGACTAGTAAGCACGGGAGCGGCGACTTTTTTTTTCCTCTTTCACTTTATCTTTCACTTCGTCCACAATAGTGGATTGTGGATGCTTGTTCATGTTTTGTATGGCTTTGCTTTATTTTTATTCTCTAGTGACTTATTTTCTTTTTTTACCTCTTGTTTTGTTTTTGGTTCCAACATGAAGGGAAGAGATTTCTCCGACCAATCACAATACTTCATGTAAAAAACTCATAGACTCAAGCTCTATTGCTTTACCAAGGGATAGGATTAAAAAAAATTCAACTTTTTGTGTCACATAAATCAACTCCAATAGACATTTTTTATTAGATACAATGTTTAGATATAACGGATAGATTAAGAAACCTCCATTAGAAATGCACTAATAAGACATTCATCCGTAACAAAAATAAACAAAAAAAAAAAAATTTAAAGCATTGCCTTCCCTTATCCTCCAACCCTACCTTTCAAATATACTCTTTAAGAAAAAAAAATTAAATGTAAGAACTAAGAAGCATATATTTTGAGTACCAAAGTAGGTTTTTAATTTAAATTTTGCTGAATTATCTTCCAATGATAACACATCGACACATTATTAAACGAACATGCCCATAACTATTTTAAAACTCTCTAAGTGGTTTATCAATACATGATTCATGGTGCAAAAAAAAACTTCTAAGGATAAAAATCAAACTTGTGGGATCCAGATAATTGGAAAAGCGTCTGTTAGGCGTAAAAGGCAAAGTCTAATTTTCAGCGTTTTCTTCGATTCAATTGTTGACGTTAACAGCAGCCAACATAATAATAACGTGGGTCTAACTGAAACAACGCCTAGACAAAAAAGGGTAGCATATACAAGAAGTTTGGAGCTTGACGTAGTCTTATAGATCAACCACCACCCACAAGAAGTCGATACACAACACATTAAAAATAAAATAAAATAAAAATAAAAAAAGTACCCACAGCCTTGTTCTCCCCAAGGATACGGACCTCGCATCAAATATCTCTAGTTTGCCAATGAAACTAAACAGTAAACGAAGTTGGACCCAAAACAGCAAGCTATATATTGCAGTTAAGTAGTCTGCTGAAAGAGAGAGCCGATAATGTATGATTCTATTCAAAAGTTGACTACATAATTTTTGCCAAACAGAAACCAAAAACACAGAAAACTTCCCTCCATGTGTCATTGTTATCCAAGTTATTAAACATGAACTTCCTCCCAGATATGCTGAGAAGGGAAAAAAATGTATAGCATCTGAGAGTCCTGAAAATTAGGACAGTATTATGCATACATAAGAATCTTTTAAACCAAAGCCTAACATAACCGATTAGTTAAAACCAGCATTATTTGGTTGCAATTTCTTCCTGATGTTTTATGGTGGAAATTAGGGGGAAAATTGTTTTTGGTACATCAAGGATTACCTAACCAGGACATGAAAATTTTTTGACTTTCAAGCAGCTGCAGCCAAAGGCACAGATCTGTAGCATGCTCTCTTTGCAGCACGAACAATATCTTCAACCTGTACATACATACAAACCAGGAAGCCACCAGATTTAAATGATCTATAGACATATACCAAAATCCTTGAACAAATTAGCATCTAGCTTTTTATCAGATACAAAACTCGTGTCATACAAAACCATCATGTCAGGGCTATCATTTCCTCCATTCAAAATATTCAAAATAAAAAATACATTTCTGGATCAAAATTATGAAAGAAAAAAATCCCCCAAATCAGGTTGACAAGTTAACAGAAAAAAAATTATATATATATATATATATATATTTAAGAATCATTACCTGTGGGACAGCCATTCTCTCCAGATTTGCTGCATAAGGCATAGGAACGTCAGCCCCAGCAATTCTCTCAACAGGTGCATCGAGATAACCAAAACTCTCCTCAATGACAGATGTGCTGCTCAACAGAAGTATACACTTAACAGGATTGCCAAGAATTAACCAGAAAGAAACAATAAAGTCAATGAAAAGAGATAAACCATATTTCAGCACCAACACCATGCTGAGGAAACCCTTCTTCAACAGTTACCAGCCTATTTGTTTTCCTTACAGAATTATTGATTGTGGACCGATCAAGCGGTCGGATAGAACGCAAATTAATAACCTGTTTGGATAAGAATGTCACTCACTATCTATTATCATAAACCAGATGAAGTTTTGCAAAAAAAGGGGGAAGTTCATTATAAACTATCGCAAGTCTTACCTCAGCACTGATTCCTTCCTTTGCCAGTGTCTCAGCAGCCTAAACACAACACACCAAACCATCCAGAAAAAATAAATATTACCATTGATTTTCGTCTTATTTAATATTTAATGCAAGACAAACCTACATCTTTTTCATGTACTTCTAAGCAAATGGCCAATTGAACAAACAAGACACGTAAACAACACATTATTTATATATATCTATACTACAAAAGAATCTCAAAGTAAACAAACCTTGAGAGCATAGCCAACCATTTTTGAATAAGCTGTAATAGTCACATCTTTTCCTTCCCGCTCAATCTGATGGTTGTAAAATGCATGAAGCAGACAAGGATTCAACAAGAATGCATTATTGCATAGTAAGTATGGTTTAACAATCATAGATTCATAAGTAAGATGTATTTCAGATACTAGTATACTACAGATAATTAACTACCTTTGCTTTTCCTATGGGAAGGCAAAAACTGGAATCAAGAGCTTCGGCTGTAACAGGGAATGACTCACCATATCTGGGGGCATAATTCGTCAAATTAATTATATTTTGAAACCAAACTGATGTCAAAATCTATGGCTACGCCTTTTCATGTATAAATCAAACAGCAAGAGTTTCTTTTTTGGGGGACGAGAATCAAGCAGCACAACTTACAACAACTCATTTTCAAGGAAAACAACAGGATCAGGGTCCCTTATAGCTGCTTTAAGCAAACCACGAGCATCTTCAGATGAATATGGTGTCAAGACTTTCAACCCAGGGCATGCACCATACCAAGATGCATAACACTTCATAAAAGCAAAGATGTAGGACATACAAAGAGAGACAATCCAAATTATTTATCAGTGCTCGATAGCTCGAAACCAGAGTAAAATTCAATGCAGAATTTAAACAAATAATTAAAGAAAGTTTGTGTATGAAAGAAAAAAGCTTGGAGAACCATACTTGAGAATGCTGAGCACCAACCCCAGCAGCAGCACCATTGGGTCCTCTAAAGACAATAGGTACAGATATTTGCCCAGCAGACATGTAGTTTGATTTTGCAGCAGAATTAATAATATGATCTATTGCCTGCAACATAAGTTAAAATACAGTGAGTGGGTTAAAATTGAACAATTAAATAGCAAGCTAATAAGCCAAGATGATGCAACTGTATATCAAACAAATGAAGCCCAAAACAAAACGCAATTACACACGTTGACCCTATATTCGCCACAATTTATTAGTATTTCAAGTTTTCAACATTCAAGCTACCAATGCTCAAACATTAAAATTGCAAATATAAGGACCTACTTCATTCAAAGGAAAGAGATTTAACTTTCCAACATAATTCATACCCAAGAATAATAATTGAAAATAGAAGCAATAAAATTTGACAAGTAACAAAATTCCAGCCAAAAGGCCAGGCCACTCTAACAAACTGGATTGATTCATACATCAATGTGATGTTCAAACTTTTAGTTAAACACCACAAAATTGCTTATTTTTTTAAGTTAAGCATGATTGGCACTGTTAACAATGAACTGAATCCCTCCCTCCAATATAGAGATCAACAGCTTGGCCCAAACCACAAATCCTTACTTCCATATCTTTAACAGGGTAATCAATCACAGAATTTCACAGCATTGCCTTTTTGCCATCCTTGTAATGCACAGAGCATCACTTCAGGTTTTGACAGAGCAGCCATCACAAGCCCAAACCGAGTCAAATCATGACCAGACCAATATTGGTGATTTCATCATGTGCCCCACTGATTTATATTGTGATATCTGCCTCATCAAGGCCGCCCCCACTAGCTTGCACTTCATTTTTTTTCTGGCCAAAGGACCCAGGGGTATGCTGTTTACTGTATGTGTTGTTTTCCATCACCCCCAACCCACCCCACCTACTAGTTTAAGCTTCATCATTTTCCACTGTTTGCTGTCATTTTCCAGCAACCTACTGATGTTGTGCATAGCAACTCTCATTCTGTCACCTCAGTGCACTCTTGGCGACCTCTGTTGTACTTTTGTTACCCTTATGATCCTTAATTGTTATTAACTTGTTAATTATGCCTAAGATTTGTCGTTTCTGATGATTGTAAGTCCAGACTATATCACTACAACTTTTGCTTATCAACGATGAATATGTTTTTTACTGAGTAACCTTCATATTTGAGCATTTGAGCCTACTGTAAATTATTTATCTCATTTATATATACATAATCTTCGGTATGGCAGTGATTTTGCTATCCCTCTGAAGCATTTTTGGGGTGTGCCACACACACCTCTATCCTTGATTGACAATTGTGATTATCAACACAGCCTCAAAGGGAAGTTAACATTTTTCCTGGTGGAATCAATCACGTGTTGAAAACTTAGTAACCCATGTACTCTTATCACACAAAACAAAACTCATACAATGCCATCTAATAATCTTCATGGCCAGTCAACTTTATATAACATTGTACGTATACTTAAACCAAGTGGTGCGTGACAAATTTAACACTTAACTCCACACTCAGTTTAAGAAAGAAAGGATGCAATTGAGATAAACTCTAACCTGCATGGAGAAGTTAAAAGTCATAAATTCCACAACAGGCCTTAGACCATAGTATGCAGCGCCAACTCCAATCCCAGCAAACCCAGCCTGTATTATATTTCACAAAAAAAATATTTCAATCCAACAGCTGCGACCAACTATCTATAAATCCAGTTCTCTTTTTTTCCTAGGATAATCAGTTAAATTTAATTCATAAAAGTTCATCTGTTAATAACTTGGAAATAAGAGCTGCGAAAGAATGAAGTATGAAAGGTGTGTGTAAGAAAAATGACCTCAGTGATTGGAGTATCGAGAACCCTTTCGGGGCCATACTTCTCGAGCAGCCCCTTGGATATCTAAAATGAAAGAAGAAAGAAAGTTAAGACGTAATAGTTAATGAAGTTCTTAAATCCAGAGATCGCCAAGACAAGTAAATTAACTAACCTTGTATGCACCCTGATATTCCCCAACCTGCACTTAAATACAAGAAAAATGAACAACCCCAGGAATAAGTTATTTGTAAAATCGAAAGAGAGAGAATAGATAGAAATGGATGACCTCTTCACCCATCAAGAAGACTTTAGGATCAGCTGACATCTCCTCATCGAGGGCGGTGTTCAGAGCCTCCCTCACAGTAATCTGCACATTTTATTTTCTGTTTCAAAATCTGAATCGGGGAAAGCGAGTTTGATGAGAGAAGAGAGAAATACCTCTTTGGCGGCAGAAGAGAAATATCTGAATGCGGAGATGGCAGGGCGAATACTCTGCACATAAAAGTGTTCATCTTCAAATGAAATGAAATGGAATTGAAATGGAAATGGAATCAGACAGAGACAAATATCGTACCCTGTGCCTCATAACACCCCACATGTTGCCTCCTTGATCTGGAATCAAGCAAACCAAAACTAGTCAGTCAGCCACAACAGCGATAAACCATCAACAAATTTCATTTTTTTTAAAACTAAAAAAAAAAAAAAAAAAGTTAACCAATCGACAACATGCATGAGAACCAGATGCATAAACACAAATCTACAGTGGATACAAAAACCCAAAGATTAAGAAGCACGAGGATTGAAAGAAAAACCTAGCAAAGGAAGAAGAACCCGTACCAGTAGCTGGATCCGATCGCCAGTCGCTTAAAGAGATACACCAGTAGCTGGAACCAAACCAAACAACCCCCTCCCTCTCCTCTGCTTTATAAATAAAATATGAGAATAAAAGAAAAATGTCAGTACAACACACTATTTTAATATATTCTTCATATATTAAAAAGTATAGATTTAAAAAAAAAATAGTTCAATTTTTTTTTAATGTTATAAACACACTATTTTTAATATATTCTTCATATATTAGACTTGTTTAGAAAAGTTTATTAGACAAATTTATAGAATGTCTAAGAGTAGTTTATAAATTTTTTGAACCGATTTTTTTATAAATTATTTAGTATAACTTATCATTTAATTTATAAAAAAATTATTATGAAGTACTTGGTCATTGATACAAATATTTTTTTTTTATTTTTTTATTCTTTTATTCTTTTCTAAAAATAAATTTTATATTTTTTTTATTATTCTCTCTAAATATTTTCGTTTCTCCTCTCATAATATTTTGTTCCTTTTTATTTTTTTCTCTTCTCCCATATGTTCTTTTATTTCTTCCTCCAAAAAGTCTACATTTTCCTATTGTTAAAAAAAATTATAAATTTTTTTATCTCTAAAATTACATATTTATAATAATTTTTTTGTTAATATTTATACAATAATTTTTCAATCATGATTTTATAAAATATATATAATTAATTTTTAATTTTTAAAAATTTAATTATGATTATATATAATTGATGTATCATATTTTTATTAATAATTTTTATAAATTAAAATTAAGTGAATGGTGACTAGTAATTTTTTTATTATGTTTAATATTATTGTGATGAGTAATGTCATTTTTTAAAATTATTTAGTCACTTTTTATATTTTATTTGACTTAAATATTTTTTAGTTTTAGTAAAATTATGGAGTTTTGATTTTGATCCTGTAAAAAATATTCATCTTAAAATTTGTAAACATTGTTTTTGTTCCTTATAAAATAAATAATTTTTTGTTTGATTAATAAAAAGAATTTATTTCCATTCCTCTAAAATTTAAAATCGTTATTTTTAGTTCTTAACAATTATTTTAACATAGATGAATATATATAACAATTATTTTAAAAATTTATATAAATTTTTAGCATGTAACACCTAGAATGTTTTGAATATTTTATTAAATATAGTGATTAAAAACAATAGTTTTAACATTAAAGAAATGAAAATCAAAGAAAAATTTTATGAAGACTAAAAATATTTTTAAATCTTTTAATTTTATTTTTAGTCAAAATTTAATTTAAATTTTTTAAAAAATTTAAAATGAGGTAACATCAGTGTTTATTTGAGTTTAGTAAATGATAACATCAGTGTTTATATATTTTGAAATTTGTATAAGTGTTTATATATATATATATATATATATATATGAATTAGAATCTTTTGACACCGTATTGTTAAATTAGTGAAATGATATTTTTAATAATTTTTTATAGAACTTAAATTCAAATAAGCTAATTATTGAATTTGATGATATTACTAATGTTTAAATCAAGTATAAAGAATTGCATACAATTCTAAAATTATTTGATAGTGTATTATATCACTTTATTTCAATGTATAAAATGATATTCAAAATACATGTAAATATATATGGTTAAATAACATATATAAAAAAATAATTTTTTTGTTAATATTTATACAATAATTTTTCAATCATGATTTTATAAAATATATATAATTAATTTTTAATTTTTAAAAATTTAATTATGATTATATATAATTGATGTATCATATTTTTATTAATAATTTTTATAAATTAAAATTAAGTGAATGGTGACTAGTAATTTTTTTATTATGTTTAATATTATTGTGATGAGTAATGTCATTTTTTAAAATTATTTAGTCACTTTTTATATTTTATTTGACTTAAATATTTTTTAGTTTTAGTAAAATTATGGAGTTTTGATTTTGATCCTGTAAAAAATATTCATCTTAAAATTTGTAAACATTGTTTTTGTTCCTTATAAAATAAATAATTTTTTGTTTGATTAATAAAAAGAATTTATTTCCATTCCTCTAAAATTTAAAATCGTTATTTTTAGTTCTTAACAATTATTTTAACATAGATGAATATATATAACAATTATTTTAAAAATTTATATAAATTTTTAGCATGTAACACCTAGAATGTTTTGAATATTTTATTAAATATAGTGATTAAAAACAATAGTTTTAACATTAAAGAAATGAAAATCAAAGAAAAATTTTATGAAGACTAAAAATATTTTTAAATCTTTTAATTTTATTTTTAGTCAAAATTTAATTTAAATTTTTTAAAAAATTTAAAATGAGGTAACATCAGTGTTTATTTGAGTTTAGTAAATGATAACATCAGTGTTTATATATTTTGAAATTTGTATAAGTGTTTATATATATATATATATATATATATTTATAACATAAGTTCTTATTACATAAAAACTAAATAAGATCTAAAAATAAGTTATTTATACAAATGAGCCCTTACTTTATCTTTTAGTTCTTATCATTTAAAATAGATATTTTAATTTTTATATTTATTTTTATTAATTCATTTTAATTTTTATAGTTTATGATATTTTTTTTAATTCCAATACTTACTTTTTTTTATTTTTTGTAATGTCATATTTTTTATATTAATGTGACAAGGTATTTAAATTTGTGAAAGAAAAAAAATGAATGTCTCAATAATGGATATCATAAGTAAAAATAAAATAGAAATATGAAATGTTGAGAAATATAAATTAGGATGAATTCAGCAAAAATAAATTTAATATAAAAAATAAAAAGTTAAAAAAGTTCTCACATGCTAACAATTTTTTGAGAATATAATTGTCCCATTAGATTTACTATATGAAAATGATTGAACCAAACTAACATTTAAAAAAATCATAAAAATAATGAAAAATGTATGAACATAAATAACAAAATAATTAAAAATTCAAAAAATAATAATTTTATATTATTTTTTTCTACTAGTAAAATATATTTTCCACATAATTTTTACTATAATTATAACTTTTCTAAATTTAAACGCTGATTGAAATTATTATTTTTATATAGATAAATATAATTTTATAAGTTTAGTTGCCGAATAAATATGTTTACGATGACAAAATTATATCCTTCATTTAATCATTTATATTTTCAAAATTTAACACTGTTGTATTTGGAACATGATGGCATCACTTTTGCAAATAAATAAAAGTAGAAGTTTTGTCCATTTTTTACTCCGAATGTGTGATATAAATGATAACTTTTTTAAATTTATGTTTTATGCATTGCCCTTAAAATAATATAACGGTTTTTAAAACTTCCATTTTTGTAATTTATGGTATGAAGGTTTATTTGTTAAATTTTTATAAGTAAATGAGGTAATATTTGGCTTTTAAAATATTATTTTAACCTTTATAAAAACAATAAAATGATCTTTCAAATATTAAAAAGACACGTAAACAAACAGCTATCAGTCCATCGGTTACCATATATGCGTCAACTCGAGAATCCAGAGCGGTAGGTGCACGAGGCTTGCCGTTCTTTCCATCCACGTAACTCACCAACCACAAACAAGAAAAGAGTATGTGCAGCGAGGAAAGGCAGTATAATAAGCATTTATACTATTTATGCCGAGGATATGTATCTTTTTATTTTTTCTAAATAAATCATGGAATGAGTAGTTACATGAATAATTATTTTAAAAAAATAAAAATAAAAGAAAAAAATTATTGAAAGAAAAAAATAATTTTAATTTATGAATAAAATAAATTAATTGAGTAGAACAGTTATTCAAAAATATTCTTTTTTTTATATAAAGGTATATATTTTATAAAATTGTATAATGGAATATAATTATATGAGAGCAAGACTGATTGTTGTAAAAAAAAATTATTTTAACATTTACACATATATCAAACTTATTTGTCCAACGACAAACAGTCTTGCCCTCGTATAAATAGCATAAAACTAAATTGATAATTGTAAGTACAATACATAAAACAGATTTTAAAAAGTTATCATTTATATTATCACACATTCTAAGAAAAAAGACAAAATTTCTATTTATTTATTTATTTCCAGAAGTGATGCATCATGTTCCAAATATATTAGTGTTAAATTTGAATAATTAAGATTAATTATACAAATTATTCATCTTCTAATTTTTAAGATAATTATTATAAAAAAATATTGTACTTAATGTAATATTATAATTTTTTAATTATTATATTTTTAATAATTATTAACTTATATGGTGTTTAAGGTGTGTTATGAGACTCGGAGAGTTGAAGGATTTGTAAGAATCTAGTAGATGTTTAACTAGTTGACCTTAAAGGGATGAAGTATATAACAATTTTGTTGAGAACTAAATCTCATAATTTCACGTTCTTCATATTTTTGAGAGAAACTATATAGAGGTACTCTGAGTCTATGAGTTTTCTTCTTCTCCCTGAACCTTACCTTGATCGGAGAAATCTCTCCCTTGGATGGTTAATTTGTTATGTAATGTAATTCAAGTACCGAGAGCCTTGAATCTTAGTTGTAAAGAGTGTTGAGTTCGTTGGGGGAGCTCGGTTATCTTCATCTTCTTGTGTTTTTTTTCCTCTTGTTGCTTGGAGTGAGGTACGGGAAGTTATAAATGTGTTTAGTTGTTTTAGTTTGAGTTGCATGTTGATGGATTATCATTAAATGATTATTGTATTGGTTGGAATTGGCTAAATGATGAGAGTTAAGGTTTTTGTCCTTATGAGACAGGTTGAGAGAATTGGATGATTTGATCTTAATTTTAGTCACATGTTTTATTTTTTATTGTAAATGGTTCATAACCGATGCATGTGGTTGATATCTTGTGTTAAATGTTGGAAAGTTCTTGTGTTTTAGGTGGATAGAGAAAATTTTTTAAGTCTGCATTTGCAGATATCTGATGTTACATTGAACGCACATTCATGGCTCCGGACGCAATTCCAATCATAGGTTTTTGTTTTGTTCACGTTGGGTGTAGGATTAGTGGCACTGGACGTGAGGAGAAAGACTCGTCTTGGATTGGGGCAGCATTAGGCGTGGTTCGAATGGTATTGAGTGTAAGAACACCAAAATGTCTTT